TTAGTATTATTAATTCCCAGCTAAATTTAATTCTATTATTGTGTGAAGTATTTCATTCCTTATTAAAATAATATAATGTTAATGTCCTCACTCGTTGTATAAGGAATAAGAGAACAATGTTGTCACTTGTCCATCAGTAGTGGGGAAATCCTGTTAGTTATTACTATATAAGTCAAGGGAAGTTAAAAGGAGAAACTTAACTTATTCTTATTTCATGAAGACACAGGACATAATATATGATTATATGTCACAGCCCCACATTTAGCTGTTACCCTACGATACAAGGATTACTTAGGGAAATGACCGCCTTCTCCACACACATCGCAGCCACCCCATGACTTCAAGCTTTGTGCTCACCCTACACACACCCAGCTTTGCCCTCACGCAACGCACATCCAACTTTGTCCTCACCCTACACACACCCAGCTTTGTCCTCACGCTACACACACACAGCTTTGTCCTCACGCAACGCACATCCAACTTTGTCCTCACGCAACACACACCAACTTTGTCCTCACCCTACACACACCCAGCTTTGTCCTCACGCAGCGCACATCCAACTTTGTCCTCACCCTACACACATCCAACTTTGTCCTCACCCTACGCACACCCAGCTTTATATCCTCACCCTACACACATCCAACTTTGTCCTCGCCCTACGCACACCCAGCTTTGTCCTCACCCTACGTCTACGCACACCCAGCTTTGTTCTCACCCTACGCACACCCAGCTTTGTCCTCACCCTACACACACCCAGCTTTCTTTCCGCATTATGAATGGTCCCACAATTTTTTATTTTTTTTTACTGGGCACCCCCCTATATTCTGTGTAAGGTGAAGCGCAGAAGCGTTTACAGCGCCCAACAGGGAAGCATGCTAAGTTCATGCTTGCCTTTATGTCTCATGAGTTAAGGGCGTAGAAGCCTGAAGAGTCAAGGGCGTAGAAGCCTGAAGAGTCAGTGGTTTATGTCATCAAGATATTGGAAGCTCCAACCACTTTCCCTGAATACGAATTCGCAACTTTCGATTTACAGCAGGTACCTACTTTACTGCTAGGTGAACACGGACCAATCAGGGCTAGGAAGTATGTCCAAACAACTTTTCCACCGGCCCGGGAATCGAACCTGTGACATCTCGCTTGCGAGGCAAGAGCGGTACCGTTCTACCATCGGCGCCCCCGGGTCACACAATAATGTGTGCGGAGTTTTTGGGTCATGGAATTGGGACCTAAGTGACATCAGGGAGGGTGTCTGTCTGGAGAGCGGACGGTTGGCGTGACTTAATTTTGTAGCAAAGCAATTATGTTTGACAAGAGTTATAAACACAAGACTAAATCTCTGCACCTACACGTTATAGGCGTGGGTGGGCGGTTATATGTCGGTGCCCCTGATGGTACACCTGCCACCCACACTACCTTCGTGCCACCCACATTACCTCCGTGCCACCCACTCTACCTCACCACCCACATTACCTCCGTGCCACCCACACTACCTCCGTACCACCCACACCGTGCCACCCACAACTCCGTGTCCGTGCCACCCACACTACCTCCGTACCCACTCTACCTCCGTGCCACCCACTCTACACCCACATTACCTCCGTGCCACCCACATTACCTCTACCACCCACACTACCTCCGTGCCACCTCACAGTCACTCATTACTCACCTTGCATGCGAGGTACAACAGTCCGGACAGTTAGGCGATACGTCGAACTTGGTCAAGTTGTGTTGTGGGAGTGAGGTGGTGAGGGCCTCCAGCACCACCCTGCTTCCCTTGTACACCAGCAGGCACCAAGTATCCATGTAGGCCATCCTGTCTATGTAGTGAGCGCCCATATCCTCCAGGGTGGCTATCGTCTCTTCCTCCATGAACGCCGTAAAGTCTGGCTGCCGTCATATACTTAAAATAACGTCTTTGTTTGTAAAAATAACTTGTACGTTGTGATACATGCTGGCATCTCAGTTATGAAGCCTCGAGCATTTAAATCTTAATAGATTAGTAAGTTTTTCATCAACCGCATCAAAACTCATGTCAGTGGCCATCATGAATTTGTTTTATTCGACAACGTAGACAAGTACAAGGAGGCCGTCAAGATTACTTTGTTACTAGTTGTGAGATGGTGGAGGAGTGGGCATAGAAATCTATATCATTCAGTGCTCCAAAGATGACTGGTAGGCGACTGTCTTACACGGGACATTGAGTTAAGTAGACACAAATGAACTGAGTTTGACATCAGTTACGTGGATTGCAAATTGTTCAAGATGTTGAATCATTGAGACTGGTGAGAAGTTTTACATTTAACATGAAATGAAGTGTTACTTACAGCCCGAGGATGACCAAGAGGCGGCTGTCTTGAATTTCTTCCAAGTCTTTGATAAATTGTTCATCAGTGTTAGTCTGCCACGTCATATAAGGTTGCTCTCATGACCTGACCTGTCGACTGGTGCAGCGTGATCAGGTGCAGACCAGCATGAGTCTGGCAGTTATCCCAGCCCAGGGGACGGTCTTGTTGTAGGCGCTGTAAACCTGCGGGGAACCCAATTTTATGATGAAGGATAGAAATGTGCTGTAGTTTTTTCGGGGATGGGGGGGGTCAGGGAGCGGCTTAACATTTACATCTGCCTCAATAACTCTTAATGTAAACCCATGTCCTAGGCTCACTCTCCATCCCCTTGTGTTGGTGACACGTGACGTACTTGTCTATTGGAAATCATTAAAGCTGTTCCAAAAAGAAAGATAAAGTAATGAACCTCACCTGACGACCATCCACCGCTAGTTCCACGCCTGTCATATTGACTGAAATATCCAGGATGAGATGATTCTGAAGATCCCCAGCTGGAAAGTGGACTCCAGGAGCCTCCATACTATTCTGTTTTTCTTCGCTATTGTAAGCTGACAATTTCTCTGACCTGGCAATGGGAGCTTTCACAGCATCTAGATCTCCGGTAATGGAAGCTTTACCAGCTTCTTGATCTCCGGCAATGGAAGCTTTACCAGCCTCTTGATCTCCTGTAATGGAAGCTTTACCAGCCCCTTGATCTCCGGCAAAGGAAGCTTTATCAGTGTCTTGATCTCCGTCAATGTAAACTTTATCAGCCTCTTGAGACCGTGATGGGGAATTTTTATAAATCACTTTACTAAGTTCTTGAGACAAGGGTTTATCGTGAGTTGAAACATAAGGAGGAAAATCATCTTCTTTCTCGTGAATTCTTAAATGTTTTCGAGGCACTCCAGACCTTGTTGTATTGGAATTGTTATCAGTAATATTACTCCGTTTTCCTTCACTCTTGTAAGGTGTGGACCTCTTTAGCCTGGTGTTGGGGGAGAAGGATACAGCACCACTGTTGTTCACGTAAGCACTTGTATTTGTATCGTTATCTCTAATAACACTGTTATAATTTTTCTTTACTGTCTCTCGAACATTACTTTTTGCCAAGAATTTTGTCATTTCATCAACCTTCTTGGGTGGTAAACTGTCGCTTGGAAGTATATATACCTGTGACCTCGCAGTGCTGATGTTGTTTGATGTCGTCATCGTTATATCTGCATCATTGTTGACATTTGGAGGTGGAAGTATACCCTCAGTTTTAGCCGCGTTTGGTGTAGCCTCATCGCCAGTTTGGTTCACTACCAGGAGGATGGTGAGGTACATCAGGTTGAGGCCGAGAATGGCTACCACACGCTGTCTTGTTGTCAGCGGCATTGTTGTTGTAGTTTGGCTGTAGACTAGTGTTTACCTTTACGGTCCAGGTGTGAAAATGTAGTATGACGTCACTGTAGTTAGTGTGTGTGTGTGTGTCTTGTGTTAGGATGATAGAGGTCAGCAATACTTCATTGTGATGAGAAGAGTCACTTGCATATCTCACTTGTTCATATTTTCCTCCAGCTGGTAAAGACTGTGTTGTGTAGGTGAAACTTATTTGTGTGAGCTGAAAGTCAGTACTGTAGGTTTATATTTTTCCAGGGTGTGATATTAACACCTAAGTATCAACACTGTTAAAGAACACCTTAACAAAAATTATTTTGGTTTATTTGCGATACACAAATTAACTTAAAATATTTTGAACGTAATTCCAAGCTTATTGATTTGAATCATGTTTACATTTTATCACAGTGTTTGAATTTGACAATTCATGTGATTTTTTTCAGCAGCATATTCAAAACACATGAGGGTTTCATATTTCAATCTTATGAACAGCACAAACGTGTCTTAAGCCAACCTAGCACTCGTGTCAGTTCCCAACTGAGCGAGGCGTTCTTTCCTGTGTGTGTGTTGGCAGTTGAATTATGCTTCGGGGCTGTTGGCAACAGTTGCCAGTTCATGCTGGCTGCATCTTCTAAATTACAAGCACAGTTTCCTTGAGCAGGAGTTTTGTATTTTAAGATAAGAAACAAGTATAGTTTTGTTGATTATGGCTGGGGGCTGTAAATACAAATCTGAAGTCAATACATATTTAAAGTGAATATTAATCTGAAATTAAGACAAATCTGAGGTAAATACACCTGTAAAGTGAATACAAAGACAGTTAAATATAAATCTGAAGTTAATATAATTTAAAATTTCTATTGGTCGTTGGTCCAGTGAAAGTGATGGCCTGCAGACTTGGTGGGTGAGGCCAGCAGAATAATTCCCCGGGATGATTTACGTGTCTAAACGTGGTATACAGTCGTCTCCAGATATCTTGTTACCCCCTACCGATCCTCCCTTGTTCATGTGGCAAAGTCGCACTACTTGTAGCGAATTGATTGCTAGGACTGTTTATAGGAAACAATCCTATCAATCACTTCCCTAGCCCTTCGGGTAGCCGGATGGTGCCATATGAACAAGGGAGGCCCAGAAGGGGGTAACAAGATAAGGCGACTGTACCTGTTGGGCATCGGCCAGAGCTCAAGGTTACGTTCTTATGTCTTTCTGGTGTCTTTGTTTAGTCATCTTAAAGTGTGTTAGATGTTGTACATTTTAATAATGTAATAAATAAAAGGCTAATAATTAACAGTATTTATTGCTCAGTTCATTACTAACTATAAGCAGTACCGGAATCATTAACACCCGCTGCACACACTTGTTATGACTTGAAGTAGTAGTGGAGGAGGTTGGTGAGGTTGACCTCGTCAGAGAGAGAGATTGGAGGAGCCCTTAGCGCCACGTGCTTGTTGAGGTTTACATTCCTGAAGGGGTGGTTGTTGGCGTACTTGACCTCCTCCTGCGTTGCGTTGTAGATGTCCGCTGACTCCTTTGTTAGGCTGCAGGGAGTATAAGAAGGAGTGAGAAGTATGATACATTGTAGAGGTGTAGCAGTTACGGAAGATGAAGGAGACCAACTGCAGGACAAGCAGACAAAGTTCGGTACAAGACGTGTGAGGAAGATTGCTTGTAGAGTCTTATGGTTAATGGTGTGACGAGGATCCGGTCTCTTGTGACCTTTTTGAATACAAGGCTTAAAACCCACTGTTGCTAGCTTACCCACTGTTGCTAGCTTACCCACTGTTGCTAGCTTACCTACTGTTGCTAGCATACCTACTGTTGCTAGCTTACCCACTGTTGCTAGCTTACCCACTGTTGGCATCTTACCCACTGTTGGCAGTTTACCCACTGTTGGCAGTTTACCCACTGTTGCTAGCTTACCCACTGTTGCAAGCTTACCCACTGTTGCAAGCTTACCCACTGTTGCTAGCTTACCTACTGTTGCTAGCTTACCCACTGTTGCTAGCTTACCCACTGTTGCTAGCTTACCCACTGTTGCCAGCTTACCCACTGTTGCTAGCTTACCCACTGTTGCTAGCTTACCCACTGTTGCTAGCTTACCCACTGTTGCTAGCTTACCCACTGTTGCTAGCTTACCCATTGTTGCTAGCTTACCCACTTTTGCTAGCTTACACACTGTTGCCAGCTAGCCTACCCACCTGTCTGCTAGCCGACCCACCTGTTCGCTAACCTACCCAACTGCTAGTAGCCTACCCAGTCGTTCATCCTGTATTACCAGTTGCGGGTCATGTAAGGAGCTCACCAGAAGGGGCTGTTGGGGCAGCCGACGACGTACAGTTGGTTGCCGTAGAATGAGGCTGTATACATCAGGAGGAAGTTCTCGTGGAACACGTGGTCGTCCAGCCCCAGACACTGACGGAGAGAGAGAGAGAGAGAGGTCACTTATGGGACTTCTGCTCAGGTGTTCTTGTAGGTTAGGTTAGGTTAGGTTAGGTTAGGTGTCGGGTATGGTCATGGGAGAGGTATGTGAGGTGTGGTCACGAGAGATGTGTGTTTAGTGTGGTCACGAGAGATGTGTGTGGAGTGTGGTAGCGAGAGATATGTGTGAAGTGTGGTCATAAGAGACGTGTATGGGTGTGGTCACGAGAGAGGAGTGTGGGGTGTGGTGACGAGAGAGATGTGTGGAGTGTGGTCTCAAAAGAAATGTGTGGAGTGTGGTCATAAGAGACGTGTATGGGTGTGGTCTCGAGAGAGGAGTGTGGGGTGTGGTGATGAGAGAGATGTGTGGAGTGTGGTCACAAAAGAAATGTGTGGAATGTGGTCATAAGAGAAGTGTGTAGGGTGTGCTCAGTGTGGTGACGAGAGAGATGTGTGGAGTGTGGTCACAAAAGAAATGTGTGGAGTGTGGTCATAAGAGAAGTGTGTAGGGTGTGGTCGTGAGAGAGGTGTGCTCAGTGTGTGGTCACGAGAGAGATGTGTGGAGTGTGGTCATGAGCGAGGTGTGTGGGATGTGGTCATGATAGATAGATATGCTGGGTGTGGTCACGAGACAAGTGTGTGGGGATGTGAGAATTTTATTCATCGTCTTCATGGCAATGTTGGGTAACATGTCACGAGGTACTGTCCAGAGGTGATGGTGTTACAGCGTGGTTGGTCAGGCACCAGTGGTCACGTGTGAAGGATGTTGGTCTTGTGGGATTTTTCTTGCACAGTTAGTGTGTGTGGGGTCGTTCCACGCCATGTTCTCAAGTACATGTGTATATCCCTGCGTCGAAGGGTGTTGTTCCAGGGTGATGAAGGAGACAGTGAGTGTTCTCACAGTGAGAAGTAATGGTGTACCTTTCCAGCTTCAAGACAATGAAAACCAGTGTCTCATGATAGCAGTATACAAAAACGAAGGTGAGGTGGAATAATAACCGTGCATTAAAATTTGCTTCCTGGTCATTTTCTCCTACAGTTGATATTCAGGCTTATAACTATTTACTTCACAACATTTGCAGAAGATGTCACTCACTCTGGCGACGACGTAGTAAGCCCGGGAGGTTGTGACTAACTCGTCGGACTGGTTGACGTATAGTACGTAGCTCTGGTTCACCTGGGGACCAACGACAAGCTTTGAATGTTGCCAAGACGATGTTCAGTCTGGTTATGAATGAGGAGGAACACTCAAAAACAATTCGTTTGCAATAAAGAATTGTGACACTGACTGTGTATGTAAAGGATAATCAGGTTATGACTTTATGGCTGGTTGGACATACTGTAGATATTGACTTAAGGCAGGACCTGTTTCTGACCAGGTGCTGGAGTACGGGTAGGACCTGCCTCTCACTTGGTGCTAGGGTATGGGCAGGGTTTGGCACTGACCTGGTGGTGGGGTATGGGCAGGGTTTGGCACTGACCTGGTGGTGGGGTATGGACAGGGTCTGGTGCTGTCCTGGTGGTGGGGTATGGGCAGGGTCTGGCACTGACCTGGTGGTGGGGTATGGGCAGGGTCTGGCACTGACCTGGTGGTGAGGTATGGACAGGGTCTGGCGCTGTCCTGGTGGTGGGATATGGGCAGGGTCTGGCACTGACCATGTGGTGAGGTATGGGCAGGGTCTGGCACTGACCTGGTGGAGGGTATGGGCAGGGTCTGGCACTGACCTGGTGGTGGGGTATAGGCAGGACCTTGTACTGACCTGGTACTGAGGTATGGGCAGAACCTTGTACTGACCTGGTACTGAGGTATGGGCAGGACCTTGCAGGGGTGCTGGGTGAGGCGCACCACTTGAGCAGCGCGGACGGCGTCATAGTGGAAACTGAGGTAGTTGAACAATGTTGCCCTGCAGATATACAGTATCACAACTAAAATATCCATTGAAATTTGAGCAGTATATAAAGTGTACTGTATCAATTTTCATGACAGTAAAAGCCATTGTATGTCAGGTTATACATATTTTTAGGACTGTCATTTATCGTACATCTGTTCCCACCACTATAACAAAGTGTGTTTGTGTATACGTTGTGCAAAATGCGTGAATGACGGTATAGTATTGTGTGGACCGCTGTATTAAAAACTTAAAGAGGAGGAGAACGAATATAAGGAGGCTGTTTTATTATTGGGGGGGGCAAGACTTGTACTGATGTGGAATGTAGGATTGAGAGTGACTCTGCATGGGCAAACTCTTAAATGGTGCTTCTGAACCTTGTCTTTTCTTACCCCTGGACGTCCAAGGTGACATTGATGATTGTGTTGATAGGTCGCTGATTGTAGTACAGTGCCTGTTCTAGGCCAGTGACATGGGCGCCTCCGCCACCAATATGCTTTGTACGAGGGATCTCAGGCACCAGGATGTCCCGCTCACCCATCATATTAAATCTCACCCACAAGTCCCAGTCCACACCCTGTTACAGAAACACAAATACTGAGTGTTACTCATTGGTAGAGATTTATTATGTACATTGTAGAGTTACGCACTATACTTGTGATTAAGCTTACGAATGTCATGAAGTAACGTCACATTGTCAACAAGTCATGAACAACAAGACATCTTCTGACCTGATTCATAAGAGCCCACTTATTGACCATCTCAATGGCCACTTCCCTCCTCACCATCCACCCATAAGCAGGAACCCCATGGACTCTGTAGATACGCGTAGGATCGATGGCAGTGTGGTTGAAGGCGTTGTAGTTGTAAGCATTGACACACAGTAGCTTCTTGTCTGACGTGAGTAGTGGCGCTGTTTGGTGGAAGAACCTGATGAAGTGATGAGATGTGAGTGAGAGTTACGTCAACGAGTACGTGTTGATAGTGAACCTATGGCGTTGATAGTTAAATTAAGTTAATTAGTATGTCTCCTTCATCAGTTACATAATAATGCTTTTTGGCCGAAATTTATGATAGAAGCCGAGGAATAATTGGCAGTTCACATTTAATTGACTAATAAAAAATGGTAGAATGAGTTAAGAATGAAGAATTGTGGGTGGCAACAAAAAAAAAAATGATCGACTGGCAGGTAGAAATTGAGTAACAGATCATAACGAAGGTGGAATGGACCATCAGATCATAATAGAATTCTGAGAATGTGTGGCAGGTATTATGAGTGTTAGAATATATATTGCCAAAGGTTAGGAAGTAACCAACTGGTCGGACTTACGGTATGAAGTCTGGTGCGAGGTCAAGGTCGTCCTCCAGGATGATGACCTTGTCGACCTCTGGGTAGCGCTTGAATACGTCCGTTAAGAGAAACTTGACGTGGTAGCTGATGCGGTTTGTCGAACCTTTGGGGAAGGAAGATCAGGAACTGTATTAATTGGCTAAGATGACGTACTTATTCGACGAATATGGTTGGTTTATAGAAGAGAAAAAATGAAGTAGTTGAACATACAGTACTCACCCTTGGGGATGGGGTCGTGGTGTTCCACCACGGACATGTTGAGGAGGGCGCCCAGTGCTCGCGCCTCGGGGTTGTGACCGTCGACGTAGATGGTGATGGGCGTGTTGGTGCCGCCGGGGCTGGCCCACACCTGCCCCACCTGACGTAGGACGTGGGGCAGCCGGTGAGCTGTTACTATGGCAACAGGAATCACCTCCTGCACCGGGTACTCCATCTAATTTCGAAGACATCGTTTCGAAATGCAAATTTAGGCAATACGCTAACATAGGATAACCCAGTGTGTCATTACAGTTTTTAGTTTGTACTAAAAATACTAGCGTAAGAAGTGTCATCTCCAGACATTTCAAAATTTACTGTGTACACATAGCCCAAAATACTAGTAATTTTTGCACACTTGATATTTAATGTTTGTATCTCACCGAGTTGTGTGGGAGAGGTGACCAGGGCGGGTCATCACAGCTGCAGAAGTCGCCGTAGCCGTCGTAAGTCTCACAGAAGGTGGCTCGCTCCCGCATCTCCTCCTTATCATACCACCCACACTGCCGCTCTGAAGGGGGTGACAATATTACTGATATAATTTACACACCTGCTGCCCATAAGGCACTCCTATCCCTCACCCCGCGCTTCACTCTGGGAGCAAGTCCTGTAACACCCTCATGGCTCACCTTTCTTGCGAGGTACAGAGACCTGGATACTCAGGGGCGACACCTCGAACTTAGTGGAGTTGTGTTGTGGGGATGAGGTGGTGAGCGCCTCTTTCACCACTTCCTCTCCCTTGTGCACAAGCAGACACCACACGTCCATGTAGGCCAGCCTGTCTATGTAGTGAGCGCCCAGCTCCTCCAAGGCGGCTATCGTCTCATCCCCTAGGTAGGTCGTGAAGTCTGGCTGCCATCAAATTTTTCCAAGTTATTTGTTGTTTTTATGGAGTGGTGAAGTGTACTTGTAACATCCCCACAGCTTGAAGGGTCATGTCTAAAGCTGTCAAATTTGTACCGAATTCACATATATATATATATATATAAATATATAAATATATATATATATATATATATATATATATATATATATATATATATATATATATATATATATATATATATATATATATAACAAATAGTTTCGTTGTTTAATATTCTTTGTTTTCAGTTTTAAAAGAAGTGTATGTGATAATTAGGGCAGATCGTATTACTCTCATGTAGACCAGATTTTTATTTCTAGAAAATAATTTAGTAAACGCTGGAAGAGTAAGTTACGTCGGTGATGAATTTATATTGCATTTGTCTCTTATGGGAAAGTTTGACTAAATCATATATGAAAATTAACACAATTTAGTCAATCCTAATTAATAATTTTCATGGTAAAATGTGGGTTGTTCTCCAGTTTACAAACGTAAGTATTGTGATATTTATCTCACTAAATTCTACAACATATTAGCAATAAGAATAACCTCAAGATAACCACATTAGACTTGTTTATTACTTACTGCGCCGATGATGACCAAAAGGCGGCCGTTTTGAATTTCTTTTAACGCAGAAATGAACTGGGTATCACTTGTGGCCTGCCAGGTCATGTAGGAGTCCGCTGTCATGACCTGACCTGTGACCTGGTGCAGCGTTATCAGGTGAAGACCTGCGTGGAGGCGAACTTTCATACTGCCCCAAAACATAGTGTTGTTGAGGTCGCTGTATACCTGAGCATTGTTCACCTGTAGGGTCACGCCTGTCATACTGACAGTAATGTCAAGGAGTATATGACTTATCGGAATTGTACTGGAGCCTTTTGGAAGAAAGGCTCGAGGATCAGCGTCTGGTTTTGCATCTTGGAGGTGACCTTCAGTAGGGAAACACTTTTTTGGATGTGTAGGAGTGGCTTGAGAATCTGATTGAATTGTAGCATCTGTTAGGAAGTTCTCAGGGGTCGATGGGCCTGTAAATTTTGAATGGAAAATTTCAGGATCTGTTGAGTTAGTTGATTTCAGCAAGTTGACACTCGGAACCTGAAGACCTCTTGTCCATGAAGAGGATTCCATAGGAGCCACTTGATCTGCTTCTTTGTGTAGGAAGGTGGTAGTGTCCGTTATATATCCTGCGTGAGGAAGAGAGGTGGCAGCAGTCTTCAGAACTTTTACTTCTCGAGATTTTTCTTGGACCATAGAACCTCTTAACTTTTGCAAGGAGGTTTCAGAAATTGCTCGCACGTTTACAGCTTGAATTGAGGTTTTATCTGCCGCCAAATCTCTGGTCTCTTCCAAAGGCCCATTAGATGTTGAAATTTTTGTTCCTGAACGCATTACAGGGGACGGTAAACGATGATAAACACCGCCGGATGCTGACGGACTACTCATTGAAGTGGAGTTCATACTGGCCAGTGGAACTTTTGTCTTTGTCTTTGTCTTTGGAAGTAAGTTTCCAGTATCTAACTGATCTTTCTCTTGGAGGTGACTATCAAGGGTGTCGGGGTATGGTGTGGCCGCCACAGTCGAAGTTTTAAGGGTTTCAGCGTCTTTTCTAAGGTGAGAAGTTTTTGATGCATGTGGATCTTCAACACATGAGGTTACATATTCTTCTTGAAGGGAACTTACAAGAATAACTGGTTTTCTTGGTGTTTCTGATGAAATTGTAGTGTGCGTTTCTCTGAGATTCGCTAAGAGCCTTGGAGAAGCTATCGCCCTTTGTGTTCTTAGGCTTGACTGAATGGTAATTTCCTTAGTTTCACCTCTCACATTCATCAACTTTTCTGAATGAGACTTATTCATGCCAGATATACTTTTGTCGTCTTCTATATGCACATTGCTGCTATCATTATTATCTTTTGTGAGATTTTCATTGTTATCTGTTTCCTTCAAAATTCTCCCCTTGGTACCGTTACTCAGCGTTACTTCACTGTTTTCATGACTGTTACCCCCAGCTATTATATTAATAGTCTTCTTGTTCGATACTTTAGTTCTGTGGTCGGGTCTTGTAATGCTACTTGGTACTTTCACCGCTCCTCTGTAGCTGCCAATATCCTCTGATGATGGATTAAGATAGATAGTATTAAATGCCATCATAGATCCTTTAACAGGCCTTGATGTTATCTTAGCGTCGTTATTGTGGATTATTATCACAAGAATTCCTAAATATATTACATTCAGGAGAGTGATGGCCATCACACGCTGCGCCTTCTTACTGAGGGGCATGGTTAATATTAATACTACAGCGGGAGCGGGAAGGTGTAGTGGCCTTTCCTGTTTCAACGAAGATCGTTAGATGCAGGACGAGTGTATCATAGTCATTAACGATATTCTTGTCCACACAGTATATGTCTTTATAAGCTTCTATTTCATTTCCAAGAAATTTTATTTCATATCATTTAACTGAATGTAATATAGCATTTTCATTACTTCCCGTCACTGGTAAACAAAACATGCGCTGTTTTAGAGTAATTTATTGGTACCTCAATGATTCTTTGGTGCACTCGTTCAGAAAAGGTTCATTTATTATCCAGAAACTGGGTATGTGCAGTAGGTCTTTCATTCAGGTGCTGATACTGTCAGACCTTAATTTACAGTATTTTCATTGTCACTAAAACACTGGCCATATTTTGTATGGTAGTAAAGTTTTGCTCTTTCCTAAGAGTAATGAACACTTATTTCCTCATCGTTTCACGAAATTTATAAAAAAAAAAAATGTCCCAATCGGTAAATTTTCTCATCGACAAGAAAGGAAATGTTGACTCCATAACATATGTGAAAACGTAATTACTCCTACACTTTCCAAACACTCACTAGTTACATCGTTCACATTCACTGGTAAAAGTTCACTTAGATTCACAAAACGTTTACACCTAGTGACAGTCAACTGTTTATCGAGTATCATCGACCCTTGAACTAACTCGTGTGTGTGTGTGTGTGTGTGTGTGTGTAGAGAGAGAGAGAGAGAGAGAGATGCTGCCACCTGTGTCCTGCCTCGGGGTTCTGCGGGGTTTGGTTGCCGAGTGAGGTTTTGTGTCGTTTTAGCTGTGAACCTTAAATGATAATAGATTGATTATTCAGGTGATCTTTCTGTTTTGTGTTTTAATTTTAATTGTTTATGTCCAGGTTATCATACGAGGAAGGGATGTTTATGTGCCTTTGTTATTTGTCTGAGAAAAAAGTCGTTTCTTGCAGTATTTAGTTTTGGGATAGACTTTCCTCTCTCTCTCTCTCTCTCTCTCTCTCTCTCTCTCTCTCTCTCTCTCTCTCTCTCTCTCTCTTGGTCAATGGCGCCACATCTATCTTTACCAGTGTTTATGTATGTGTGTTTATTTATTTATTAATGTATTTACTTCTAGGTTTCTTAACACCACTAGTCACTTTCCTAGAATGATTAACCGAATTTTGAAATGATTAAGGAGGAACCGTTATGCCTCTCTTGCTCTATGTTTTAAACTTTACTTCCCCCAAATTCATGTGGCTCCTAACACCTCTTCCTCCTTCCCCCAAACACTGGCTCCCCCAAACACCCGTGGCTCATAACACCTCTTCCTCACCTTCCCCCTTAAACACCCGTGTGGCTCATAACACCTCTTCCCCACCTTCCTCAACACCCATGGCTCATAACACCTCTTCCTCACCTTCCCCCAAACCTGTGGCTCCTAACACCTCTTCCTGACCTTTCCCAAACACCTGTGGCTCATAACACCTCTTCTCACCTTCCTCAAACACACGTGGCCTATAACACCTCTTCTCACCTTTCCCAAACACCTGTGTTCTAACACCTCTTCCTCACCTTTCCCCAAACACCCAGGTCTATAACACTTTCTCACCTTCAAACACACAATGTGGCCTATAACACCTTCCTCACCTTTCCCCAAACACCCGTGGCTCCTCAACACTCCTTCCTCACCTTCCCCCAAACACCCGTGGCTCATAACACCTCTTCCTCACCTTCCCCAAACACACACGTGGCTCATAACACCTCTTCCTCACCTTTCCAAACACCCTGTGGCTCATAACACTTCTTCCCCACCTCCAAAGCATTCTTGGGTTTCACAACACCTCTTCCTCACCTTCCCCTCAAACACCCATGGCTCATATCACTCCTCTTTCACCTTCCCCAAACACCTGTGGCTCATACCCTTCTCACCTTCACCCCTAAACACCTGTGGCCCAACACCTCTTTTCCTCACCTTCCTCAAACACCCGTGGCTTATAACACCTCTTCCTCACCTTCCCCCAAACACCCGTGGCTCATAACACCTCTTCCTCACCTTCCCCCAAACACCCGTGGCTCATAACACCTCTTCCTCACCTTCCTCCACCATCACTTCCTCCTCATACTACACACACAACTCCTCTTCCTCCTCCTCCTCCTCCTCCTCCTCCTGGAACATCTTATCCTCCACCAACACTTCCTTTCCTCCTCTTCCAACACCTCCTTCTCCTTCAACATCTTCTCCTCATCCTTCACCAACACCTCTTCCTGGTCCTCCTCTTCCAACATTTTCTCCTCCTCCAACACTTCCTTCTCCATCCAGACCTCCTCCTCCTCCACCCAGACTCCCTCCCCCTCCACCCAGACTCCCTCTTCCACTACCAACGCCACTTCATCCTCCACTTACATGTCCTACTCGCTCTCCTTCCAAGTTTGTTCATATGTTACTATTATAATGGTGTGTGATGATGAAAGCGTCTGCTGTCATGGTGGAGAGGTAACCAAATTTTTTTCTCTTACAGGTACGTTGCTGACGTGTACTTGTGCCCGTGGCGACAGGTAGGAGGAACATTGGTTCAACTCACGCACTTACAAGAAACATCTTTCTTTTGTCACGAATTCTTAGTAAATGCAGAAATACTTAACGTTATGAGATTATGTGCTACATAATGTAAATAATATCATTAAATTTATTTGAAATTTGATGTGTAAGTTACCCGACTTGTGATGATCTACCGCAGGGATGGCCAGACTTTGGTGTCACTGGATCTACTTTTTGCACGGTTATCCAAACGTGATCTACTCGCATAATTTGTCTTTACCTTCAGCATATAATGGATAATTTTTTAATCAAAGGATATATATATATATATATATATATATATATATATATATATATATATATATATATATATAGATAGAGAGAGAGAGAGAGAGAGAGAGAGAGAGAGAGAGAGTACACAGGGTCGTGTAATGCGTCGTCTAATATGGCAGCATTATGTTAGTATTAAGGTGCAAGCACCGCTTGCTTCCTCTCGCTTTCAGCTACCACCGCTGGCTAGCCCTCGTGGCGTACAGCCTCTTCACCATCAAGACTTCTGCTCTGCCTCCCCGTGGCAACACACAGTAACTGGGTGCCTCATGGGCCCAGGCTAGACAAACAGGGGATCTCGGAGTAGCAGTGAGCCCCAGAAGAATGGCGCATAGACCACTGGCTGTGGACACGTCCTAGCGCCTACGAACCACTGCCCCACTGCCCTGCGGATTAACCTTGGTAGGAATAAGGCTACGGGAGTAAATCCTGAACGAAAAATCTGCGGTGGAGCCCTGCATCAGGCAGACATGCTTACAGAGCTCCAACAAGACCCCAACGGTGGTATAGGCGAAAAAGGTGACCACCATCGGATCCCAACGACTACTGTACACCAGCGGCCGAAGGCAATGCATGATGGACAGGCTACTAAGGCGAAACCCAACAAACTGGGCTATCGGCAGTTCATTGCAACTCCCCCTCTCCCTAGTCGTTCCAACTCTTGCACCACTGGATCAGGAAAAGGGAGAGCCAAGATGTGTGGTTGCAGCTGGCTGGGTATAACATCGACATAGCAGCCATTATTGAGTCCCGGCTCCTAGACGAGGGTCGACTCACAGAACTGGGGATCTGGCTATACCTTCTTCTGGAAGGATAAGCCTACTGCAGAAAGAAACCGCATCTATGGAGTTGGCTTTGCCACCCGCCAATGCATCCTACACAGGCTAACTGAAATGCCTGTTAGGATCAACGAGTGCCTCATGACGTTTAGAGTCCCACTTAGTCACTCACGTCATGCCTTTTTCATCAGAGCATACGCCCCAACACTGGATGCCGAGGATGACATCAAGGAGGTCTTTTACGTCGACCTTGACAGAATGCTAATCTCCATCCCCAGAGGAGAAAAATTTATGTCCCTTGGTGACTTCAATACCAGAGTTGTCAAAGATGCTGACATTTGGCAGGAAATCATAGGGAGAAGTGGACTAGGCAAGTATAATCCTAACGGCCTACTCCTCCTCAGCAAGTGTGTTGCATACCACCTCACTATCACCAATACCTTGTTTAGACAAGCCGACAAGTTCAAGGGTTCGTGGCAACACCCACGATCCAAACACTGGCATCTCATTGACTACATCATTGTTGGCGAAAGAGATCGCCGAGATGTCCACATCACCCGAGCCATGCATGGCTTAGACCAATGCAACACTGATATGATCATCTGCTTGTCAGAGCCAAGCTCTCACTTCATGTTGCCCCAAAACGGCGAAGGCAACAAGTCTCCAGAAAAGGTTTTAACACTAATTGCCTGTAGGATCTAGCGGTAGCACATGCTTTCAGAGAGAAGCTCGAACATGGGCTGATAAACAACCCGACTACAAACAACCCAGATCCCAGTGCTGAATGGGGTATTCTCGACACTGTCATGACAAAAACCTGCAAAGAGACCCTCGGCCAGATCGAAACAATTCACTAGGACTGGTTTGTTGAAAATGACCCGGAAATCAATGTTGTCGTTGATGATAAACTTGCTGCTTTAACTGACTGGCAGAACAACCCTCAGTCTCGGGCCAAAGCTGATACCTTCTGCAAGAAGAAAGCGGCGGCCTAGCACAAATTTCACAAACTAAAGAACAACTGGTTTAAAAATAAAGCATGCGAAATGCTAAAACTTGCAGATCAACACCATCGACCTAACCGAGGCCCTCTACTCAGGCAAAAGGGAAGCCCTCTGGCGTACGTTCAGCCTTTTTAGCCGCCCACCAAAATTCATCGCCATTGTGATGCAACTCCATGATGGCATGAACGGCAGTGTCCTGCACAATGGCACCCAGTCTGAGTTCTCCCTCATCCAAACGGGGCTTCCTTCCTTACTTGTGCCAGTGCCAATTTAGCTGGTTGGGTGGACATCCAGTACTGGATGAAGGGTCTTTTGAACAGAAGACGATTCCAAGCAGGAACAGCGGCATCTGCAGATTCCATTACTGAACTTTAATATGCAAACGACCTCACCCCTGTCGCTCACACCGAACACGCCTTCAGGAAATCCTGAACACCTACACAGATGCGTATGCACACTTCGGCTTTGAGGTGAATGTACGTAAGACTCAGATTCTCTTTCAGCCAGCCTCTGGTTTAACCATACCTCCACCATCCATCCAGCTTAACGGTACTATCCTCTCTAATGTTATCCACTTTCTGTATCTCGGCTCCCACCTGTCCACTACCATGGACATCGATGAAGAGATTCAACAATGGATCAGATGTCCATCTCAAGCCTTTGGCAGACTCTGTACGCGTGTCTTCAGCTGTAAGGAGCTGAAATTATCTACAATGTTTCACGTATATCGAGCAGTGATCCTCCCCACCCTGCTATATGGCAGCGAGACAGAGGGCACCTCAAGGTACTTGAAAACTTTCACCAACGTAGTCTACGTTCCTTCCTCCGAGTTCGCTGGGAAGACAAGAGAACAAATGCCAGCATTCTGAGTGACAGCAAAGTAGTAGTAGCAGTAGTAGTAGTAGCCTCATTCTGAAGCCAGAACATTATGAACGGGCAATAGAGGTGTTCGGTGGAAGTGAGGTCAAAATAACAATAGACGGCCAAAGACACCTAGGCGCAGTAATTGGCACGACGGACTTCAAGACCGAGTACGTAACGGGAAAG